TATATATATATATATATATTTTTTGCATCCGGCTATTTATTTGGTCATGTTGTGGGACACTTTTCTTTCATCTTATTTTTGTGAAATTATTTTTTAATCCAATTTTTGCACTTCTATTGTCTTTCAGCGATCTTATACTAATTTTATAATTGTAGATTCTATTAATCATGTCGAATTACAGAAGGATCTTTATGTTGATGAAAACATTGGCGTGGAAAAGCAATTTCAAGATGACAATATGCAATCTCAATCTGGTTCACATGTTCCTATCATTTTAGATCGTTCTAAGAGTATTGATATACGAAATATTACAGTTGAACCTTATATTCTTCCGTCTTGTACAATTTGTAAACATTGTGGTGCAAAAAAATTTTACAAAGAAAGTAAGGGTTTTTGTTGTTGTGATGGAAATGTTAAATTACAGCTGAACAGTGTTTCCCCTGAATTGTATGAGCTATTTACTTCTACTTCATGTGAAGCGATTGCTTTTAAAAAAGTTGCTCGTACTTACAACAATCATTTTGCATTCACTTCATTTAGTGTTAAATATGATAAAAAATTGTGCAAAAATAATAGAGGTGTATATACGTTCAATGTTCAGGGACAGGTATACCATTTTATAAATCCACTTCTACCAATTGATGGAAATCCTACATATTTGCAATTATACTTTTACGATACTTATAATGAAATTAGTAATAGACTACAAATTTCAAATAGGTTAAGTGAATCAACTTTGAAAAAGTTAATAGATATCTTAAAGATAAATCCATATTGTCGTTTCTTTCGATCATTAAGTGAAGTTTCTGATTTTGATTTATGCTATATCGTACTGAGGTCTGATCCGGGTCTCGACCAGAGAGTATATAACATGCCATCATGTGAACAGGTGGCTGCAGTGTGGGTTGATGATGATCCATCTGCAAGCATAAAGACTCGTGATATATTAATTTATAGGCATTCCAATACTGCACATAGAGTAAATTACTATTATGGCTGTTATGATCCACTTCAATATCCATTAATATTTACCTATGGAGAACCTGGATGGCATGAAGGTATCGAAAAGGTAAATTTGAATACTTCAATAGTCCATGAAAATTTCATACAAATCAATCACATTAATTTGGCCGAACAATTTATAGAGATGGAAGATCGTGGTAAGTTTTATTACCATTGAAATTTTTTAATATTTTTAGAGTGCATAAATGTATTGTTATTTCTAGATCTGTCTTTGCGACTTCATTTTTTTTTCCTTTCAGCTATGAAGAGAGGTAAGAAACGAATTACTGTGTCATGCCGTGAATATTATTGCTACAAACTTCAAATCAGACTTTCAGATAAGTCTATACTCCTTCATACAGGCAGACTTCAACAACAATATATAGTGGATATGTATGTTAAGATTGAAACTGCGAGATTAGATTATTTTCATAATAATCAAAAGACTATACGAGGTGAACTTTACCAAGAAATTTTAGATAGTATACAAAATGGTGAGAATAGAGGCTATAAAATTGGCAAATCAATTGTGTTGCCTACAAGGTTTATTGGGGGTCCTAGAAATTTAACTAAAAGATATATGGATGCAATATGTTTAGTTCAAAGATATGAAAAACCTGATGTATTTTTAACAATGACATGCAATCTAAATTGGCCTGAAATTAAACAAGAATTGAGGCACAATGATAGTATACAAAATAGGCCAGATTTGCTAGCCCGAATATTTCGAGCAAAACTTGAAGAACTAAAAATAGATTTAATAAAGAGAGAAATTCTAGGGCCTATAACTAATTGCCTATGTGTATGTAATTAAATTCCAAAAAAGAGGTCTACCTCATGTTCATTTTTTCTTGATATTTAAAACGAATTTTAAGATTACTAATTTTACGCAAGTTGACGAAATTGTTTTTTGTGAAATACTAGATCCAAAGAGAAATCCTCACCTGCATGCTACTGTGGTCAAACATATGATGCATGGTCCTTGTGGACAATTAAATCCTACAAATGTGTGCATGAAAAATAACCGTACTTGTAAAAACAAGTATCCAAGAGAATACATTGTGCATACTTCATTAGGTAGTGATTCATATCCACTTTGCAGGCGTCGTGACGATGGTATTACTGTTAAGGTCAGAGGGTCTGTACTAGACAATAGATGTGTTGTACCATGTAATCCTTATATTTTAACTAAGTATGATTGTCACATTAATGTTGAAATATGTTCTTCTGTTAAAGCAGTCAAATATTTATACAAATATGTATACAAAGGACATGATCGTGTTAATTTTACGATGAATAAAGAAACTAATGAGCATTATGTTGATAGATTTCGAATTATCAAACCGCTAGATGGATATTTGCACCGGAAGCTATATGGAGAATTTTTAGTTTTGATTTATTCGTCATATCTCCTTCTGTAGTTTCTTTGCAGTTACATATTGAAGATGCTCAGTTGGTTACATATAATGAAACAGATGATCTATCAGAAGTTATAAATAAAGACTCCATTCAACGAACAATGTTAACTGAATTTTTTAGAATGAATATTTCAAATGAAAAGGCACGAACTTTACTTTATAAGGATTTTCCTACATACTTTGTATGGAATACATATTTTCGAGTTTGGAGTCCTAGAAAGAAGCAAAATGTTATTCGTAGAATAGTTGCTGCTAATCCATCTGAGGGCGAGAGATACTTTCTAAGAGTTTTATTGAATCATGTTAAAGGGCCTAAGTCTTTTCAAGATTTAAAAACAGTTAATAACATTGTTGTGCCTACTTATCGCGAAACTGCACTTTTACACGGTCTCATAGGTGGGAATAATTATTGTGAAATGTGTTTAAATGAGGCGATCACCTATGAAATGCCTATATCATTGCATCGCCTCTTTGCTAATGTGTAAATTTTTTGCAACCCTGCAAATCCTAGGAATTTATGGGTTAAATTTAAAGTGTACATGATAGAAGATTTTTTACATGCAAGCATGACAGTATGTGATGCCGAGATTAGGGCTTTGAGATGCATAAATTCATTCTTGGATGTTTTTGGTATAAACATAAATGATTTTGGTTTGGTAGATTTTGACGTAATTGTGAATGATGCTGATGTGTTAGCAAACATGATTTTAGAAGAGACTACAAATATTAATGTTCAGTGTGACATGCATTTTATAGAAAATTTAAATAAGGAACAACAATCTGCCTATGATGTTATTTTAGACTGTGTTGTAAATAATAAAAATGGAGATTTTTCTATTGGTGGTCCAGGAGGTACTGGAAAAACTTTTCTGTACAAGGCACTAGTTGCTGTAGTACGATCTCGACAACTTATTGCATTAGCAACAGTGTCATCGGGAGTGGCTGCTTCTTTAATGCCGGCTGGGAGAACTGGTCATAAACGTTTTAAAATCCTACTTCAAGCAAGTTCTGATATGCGATGTTCAGTAAGTAAACAATCATCACTTGGTCAACTTTTACAAATGACAAAGCTAATTGTGTGGGATGAACCACCGATGATTAATAGATGTGCTTTTGAAGCTTTGGATAAAATGTTAAAAGATATTACTGAATGTGAATTGCCATTTGGTGGAAAGGTTGTTGTGTTTGGAGGAGATTTTCGACAAGTGTTGTCAGTAGTACAAAGAGGAACAAAAGATGATATCATGAAGGCCAGTTTAGTTTTTTTAGATTTATGGCAATATTTTATATAACTACCATTGACTGAGAATATGAGAGCTAAATTAGATCCTTTGTTCTGTGAATATTTACTTAGAATTGGAAATGGAATAGAAAGAGAACATACGTGTCACATGATTAAGCTTCCTTCAGATATAATAATAGATTTTGAGAGTGAATCTGAATCATTGAAAAAACTAATTGCTATTGTGTTTCCTAATTCACACATTTGGTGACAATTTGAATACTATGATGAACAGAGTTATTTTGACTCCAAAAAAAGGAACATGTGGATGTAATAAATAATATGTTAGTTAAAGAAACTCCAGGAGAGATATTTACATATTTTAGTTTTGATGAAGTAATTGATAAAATAGAAGGATTTATTCATGAGGACTTTTTGAATAATCTAACTCCAAATGGTATCCCTCCACATGAACTTGTACTAAAAAGAAACTGTCTTGTTATGTTGCTTAGAAACATTAATCATTCAGAAGGTTTGTGCAATGGGACTAGACTTATTTGTCGAGAATTTAAACAAAATGTTATTTTAGTCGAGATTAGAATAGGTGAATATCGTGGAAAACAAGTATTTTTACCTAAAATTCCATTTATTCCACTTGAAGGAAATAAGTATTCGGTACCATTTAAGAGAACTCAATTTCTCATTCGTCCTTGTTTTGCAATGACCATTAACAAAGCTCAAGGTCAAACTTTAGATTTTGTTGGATTATATTTGCCTGAACTTTTTTCTCGCATGGTCAATTATATGTCGCTTTATCTAGAGCAAGAACAAGAGAAAACATAAAAGTTCTAATAAAACCAATGGATGAAATAAAATCACACAATTGTTGCATAAAAAATGTAGTCTACCTCGAAATTTTGAATTTGATATATACTATTTAAGAAGTCTATAATTACAAGTTTTGCTTAATTGGACTGCCAATCTATTGTTAGCGTAAAAGAGGATATTTTCTCTGCTAATCTATCTTGTGTCAAAGAGAATAACATTGAGCTATACAGGGTTAGTTATTTTTACATGCTATTATGCGTTTCAATTATACTTTACTTGTTAGTACGAAACATGGTGCATATAAAAGGGTCACGTCATTATTTTTAAACATGTCCTTTATAATATTCCATGTTAAACATATCTTTATTTATTTGGGTCACTAATAAGATACGAAAAGAAAGGATAAAAAACATAAGTTTATTACATAATATTTCAATCAGTATATTCTGATTATCTACTACAATTAGGACTTACGGGGATGAAGAAAGTATTCGTTATTACAGATATCTACAGCAATCTTTCGTCTATATATGTTCATCTTATCCGACGAAACTGATTCAATTGAATATTCCAAAACAAAACATTCTATATATTTGAGCACGAAAATTCCACAATTAGGCCTGTGGAAGAAATAGATTAGTGTTAGAATAAATTACTAAGTTTAGGAAATTAAATATTTTGCTAAAAAAAAGCCAATTAAATGCTTACCCATTATTTGCACAGTTTAGGTAAGATATAATCTCCTTTTCCATTTGTTTATTCCTATGTTTCCTTATATCTCCTCTAGAAGATAGAGTTGTTTTCAATAGTGCTTCTACCACAGTCAATGAAGCTTTTGCATGTGCTTTTACTTGATCCGGTGTGTGAACGTTATTGCTGCAATCATATATTTAGAATTTTCATTCAGGAATATTGATAACGAAAAGGTACCAGCTATTGCCCAAATATGAACACGGAATTAATATATACTTGCATGTCCTCCAAGGACGACCAAAGGTGCTTTTCCAATCATATAATTTTGCATAAGAGTTCCATCTGCTTCACCTCTCGTGGTTCTCATTCCTGTGTTAGTATGCCATATCATTTGACGAGCACATTCTGCTTCAAATTTGAAATCCATAATTGCATATTCTTTTGAAACAATCGAACAACCATCATTCATGAGCCGCCATAATAGTTTTAACTCTAGCTCAATGTTCTGATGAAATAAATAGATATAAATTAGACTATATATATCGACTACGAAATAAAATCTATTGTAATTCATAGACTTTACTTACAGCAATATTTATGTCCTGTGTTTGATCCATTAGAGTTTTCAACATGTCTCTTCCAAAGACATTGTTACTGCCATCGTCCAAGTATGTACTGTATGACATAATTTTAATTAATTCCAAATCAATCAAAAGAGAACTTGAAGATTTAAGCTAATACAAGTAAAACTAGATTTATTATCCAGATTGATTCTCCGCTATAAAATTTCTAATTTTATGTATCTTTGCATAGAATAGTCTTCTAGAGGACGATCTGAAGATGATGAAGACTGTGTTTGTTTCCCCTTGTTTTTCTTCTCTTTCATCGACCGTTTAGAGCTCTCAATTTGTTCAGCTGTTGACATCTCATTTGGTTTATCGCAAGGAACAACACTTGTATTGAGAGGGACATCTTATTGCATGGAACCTATGATGGCTTCCATGTTTGATTTCCATTCAGATAATGTGTTCAGTATTTCCTGATTTTGTTCATCGACATAGGATCTCATTGAACTTAAACTGGTATCAATATAAGATTGCATACCCTGATATCTATCTTCTTGTCACTTATGTTGCTGTTTGAAAAATTACCTTTGGTGTTCAAGAATTATCTAATAATGATGTTGCATGTAATCTTGTTGCCATTTTTTTTGCTCCTCAAATAACTATTTTTGGTTTTCAAGAACCGCATGGTGGTGAGCTCTTGATTCATCAGCAAATTCTGCCTTCAAGTTGCTATATACACCAGACACGTCTGGTGCTATGTGTTGCCTGTGGATACCCAACAATTCTTCCATTTTATCTTCACTTAAGGAGTTGGAGCCACTGGGAACAGAGCTAGACCTAAATACATGTGAAGATGTAGAAGTACCGGGAATCGTCGTTTCTTGCACATGTATATTGTCTGGGATTTGTTCTACTGCATTATCCAATACTCCATTTACAATCCCATCTAATCTGTTGTGTCCATTATCCACTGGCAATGAAAGAGTTCCATACCAAAGACTTTGTAATTCTTCTTCATTAGGCTGTAGCACAGCAATCACTTGAATCTGTAATCAAATTGAAATATCAAAATCGTTTATTTTGAGTTTAATTTTATTTTAAGATAATTGAATGTGAGAGTAATTGTACATTCATAAAAACATACATGACGAGTAGACAAAAAAAGCTTTATTTCTTTTTTAGTTATAGATTGGTTAGGTTTCCACTTGTATATTCTTGGACACTGTGGTTTTTTATGTCTACGATGTCCAAATTTCTTTCCGATCTTTAGAAATGCTTCATATATCCAATACTGCAAAATAATAAAAAATAAACATTGTTTGTATAAAAAACTTTTAAAGGAATATATTGTACATAATAAGTCAATACAAGAATAGGGACTAATTACCTGGAGTGCAAGTGGATACCCATGTAACACATACTTGCATTCTATTTGTTCATTTCGTTGCAACCTTTGTATTCTTTCAGATTGTGATGCTTTCAATGAATATAACAAGATCAAATATGCTTTGCGACTTCATGGATGTGCAATGAACTCATCCAGATGCTCAACCATACCAAGAATTCTATAATCAATTTGTCTTGAAGTGGGTGTCAACACACATTCGATCAACATGACTAAACCAAGCTTTGATTTATCTTCTTCATGTTCGTACGCATGAAATGCTTCATAAAGCATCTTTATACTGATTCGATATGTACCATTAAAGTATCAATTTCTAAGACGATCATTTGTATCATTAATGTCCATGGATGGTTCATAGCAAGGTAATCCAGTAATAAGACAAAATTCTTGCATACTAAATCTGGCTACACGATCGTCTAACTTTACCCAAATTTTATCATTTTCCCACAATTCACAAGCCTCAATATAAATTCATGCACTAATCTACTACAAAATTGTACATTTTTTTCTTTGTAGAAAGCTCCATAAAGAAATCCATAAAAATTACTACACATCAACGAAAATTGCTCATTCGAATCTAAAAATTGTACAAAGTCTTTAAGATATTTGAAATTTGGATACTGGACAATTGTAGCAGAAAATCATTGATCCGGAGAAATTATGTATTTTAGAGACATCTGCATAAATTATTCCAAAAATCACATCTTATTTATGAATGAATCTAAAAATTAAAAATAGAGAAACATTTTTTAAGAGTTCCAAATAAACATTATATCTTCATAGCCTATACTTGCATAAATATTTTAAAATCGATAATAAAATATCTTATGTTCGTGTCTAGATAATTCAGACAATTCATGGCATCAAAATTATGTCTCGCCTTAGCCTCGCCTCCGTGATTATGGAGACTTCGCCTCCATAATCACGGAGGTCTTGACCTCTATAATCACGGAGTCAAGGCCTCCGTGATTATGGAGACCAAGCCTCCGGATTATGGAGGCCAAGCGTTGGCCTCCGTATTACGGAGGCTTGCACCGTATTTACGGAGGCCAACACCTGACCTTCGTATGATGGAGGCCTCAACAAGGCCTCTGTGATTACGGAGGCAGGCCCCCATCATACGGAGGCCTTGTTATGGCCTCCGTAATAATGGAGACCCATTAAGGATTGAGTCTCCATAATCACGGAGTTCTTATGGGTAAAATTGTTGCCCATACACAGATATATGCAAGTTTTTTTGATTGTAAATTTTTAAGTAAAATTGTTACATTTTCCGGCCAATTTCAGAGTTTCTCCAGTTTAAATCTGCGAGGAGTTTCTCTTGAAAATGTAGAGATTTTTGGGACTAAAAGTATAATAAATGAGCACAAACCAACCACAAGATAAAAGGTTGTCACATATGAGCTGTATATTATTATTGTTTTATGCATTTGGTCAACAATCAATGACATATTTTTGTTGTGTTATGAAATACAAACTATTCACACCTTTTATAGAATCTCAAATATACATCTTTGTTTGAATTCTTTAATTTCATACACAAAATCATACATCAACATATTCACGTGTATTTAGATATTTATTACAATTCAATTTATTTAAGCTAAATAAATAACTGAATCAAATTTTCCTTCCATTACAATGAAGGTTTGTAGCATGAATACTTTTTCCCCGGTGAATACAACTTAATTTAATTCAGAGTCATTCTTGTACCATGTTTAAACCTTTGCCAGCCCATATCTATGTTCAATCATTATAAATCAATAGAGTATGAGTATCATAAGATTTTACCGTATAAATCTTGATCTTTTTCCTTTTTTAATCCAAATAAATTAATAGAGTATGGGTATGATAAGATTTTACCGTGTAAATTTTGATCTTTTTCCTTTTTTAATCCAAATTTTGACGTCCTTTTATTATATTTATAATAGGGAGAACCAATAAAATATAGTTTTACGTATGCCCTACGTGTAAATCCTTGAACTCGCGTTTTATTTATGTACTATCAATAAATGAATATTACAAGTAATCTCCATATCTCATGCAGACAAAACTTATGACAGTATATGGCTAATAATAAGATTTTACTTAGTACATACTTGTATTACTTTTTATAAAAAAAAAAAATTAAAAATAGAAGATAAAGTACGGGAAACGAAATATGATATAATTTTACATGTCTATATATATCTTCTTTTATTTGTCAATTGGATATATCAAAATCGTTTGCCA